CGGCTGATCAACATCGGAAACGTGCGGACCGCTCCTCACGGGTGCAGAGGGACGCCCCTGCCCAGCCACCCCCGGATGCTCCGTTACTAAGAGCGTGACAAGCAGACCCCACTCTTTAAATTCAACATGCCAATATTTCCTCCCCCCTCCTTGTCCCCTCACCCCAGACACCGACAACCAGGACTACTTCTACTCCAGCCAGCACCTCCACGCTAAATGCTCTGGTAGGACAAAGCATTTCATCTTCAGGAACCCGCCTCCAGCGCTCTGCACAGGCCTCGTTCCCACAACAGCCCTTGGAAAGAGGTGGGCAGCGCCAGTCACTAACGACTGGGCAAAGATGACGCAGGGAGTCAGCAGCAGCAGGTTCAGACAGTGACGGTTAAAGACCAGGGAGCCCAGGTCCCCACGCCTGTCCTCAGCCCAGTGGGTCCTCCCGTCCCTTAGAAACACATCCCGCCCTGTGGGGTGTTCAGGCTTTGCGGCACTGAGGGAGCCCAGCGGGCGCGAGGGCAGCAAAGGCGTGTTTCCCAGCACGGAGGGTGGGCAGCTGGGTGGGATCAGAGGGATCACCCGTCCCTCCTGCAGCACGGAAAAGGCCTTTGTGTCACAGGAGAAACATTTTGTGGGCCAACACGGATTGTCACAGATAAGCCCCATCAATGACCAGCCCTCGAACAATGAACGTTTTCTCCAATGCCAGCTGTGGAGGGGCGAAACGACAAACCCCCAGACCTACAGCTCCGCTGAAACCCTTTAAAGATCCTATAGTTACGTGTGATCGATGAACGGGTGAAGCCGGTGGGGAAGGGAGAGGGAAGGCAGGGTGATGCAGCGCTGATTTTAGCATGTAGTCACAGATGGAACAAGCTCATAAAGTGATTTGTAAACCAGGCAGGGATGAGAAATAGCACCCAGGAACGGCAAGGCAGGAAAGGGCTGGTGCTCCACGGAAGTCAGCAGAGCTACGTTGGAGGAGAGATTTCAAAACACAACCCCGAGGTTTTTCCCGATTTTCCCCAGGTTGGTGTGGACGTTATTGGAATATCCATGAAAACAGAAAACATGATCGAAAATAAAAATTGCAGGTAGGAGCTTACAGGCTAATTAAAAGGAAAAAAAAAAAGAGATGAAACTAACACCAGAGTTCCCCATTTAAAATAAAACTGTGCCCTCAGCCCTGCTTTCTTCTCAACCATCATTTTCTCCACACAGCCAACACTTCCATTAATAAAAAAATCAACGCTTTGCACTTCCACAGACACCGCCAAGTGCCCGTCCAACGGTGACTCGGCCTGCAGCACGCTGAAAGCGCTCAACCCAAGAATTTGCCACCTCCTTTCAACGAGGATTTACAGCCCCTCGACCCCTCTCACGGGTCTTTCAGGTGGCTTCGGGCCGAAGCAAAAGCTGTTGGCAGTCGGAAAAGGGCGCGTGACCAAGCGACCCCGTCCACATCCCCTCCCCGCCCCTCCAGCTCTCGATGGGGCTCGGTTTCTGCTCCCCGACCCGGCGCGACGTGGGCACGGGCAGGGCGCAGCAGCCGCCTGCGGGCAGGGCGCTCCCCGCACGACCCTCCTGCTCAAGGCACTGTATGCGTAGAAAATAAAAGCGAACTACCTGCTCCGTCCACACGACTTCACCGCCCATCTTCGCGCTCGCAAGCTCTCACGTCAGGCTAGCCCGAGGCCAGCAGCCAGCTAAAGGGAGTCACCCTGTGACAGCTCGGTTGTCCCTACGGCAGGCACGGCAGCGGGGTGGGCAGGGCGGTTCTTTCCCTCAACTGTGCTTCTTATCGAGAAAACAAGATCGAGGAGGTGGTATATTTGTCTTTAGCATTTATTTATCATTGGAAAAAGAACCCCTTTGAGCAAGCAAAGATCACAAGCACGTCACAATCAATTGGCTATACATTAGTTTGTGTGTGTGTTTGTGTGTGTGTGTGGGGGGGGGTGTGTGTGACTCTCATCAGAACAGCAAGAATGAAAAAGCACCACAAGGAGGTGTGCTTAACACGTTACAAGAGACAATTCGTGATACGCAACCAAACCCAGGCCACAAAGTATTAATTAGACACTTCCTATCTGCCTCCAAGAGGCAAGAGTTTGTGGAATTCATGGGAGCCACATTCGTACACCGGACGCGTTGCAAATGAAGAAGCAGGTGATCGGTGTGCAAAGCAGTCAGAAAACAGGAGCTCAGTCAGCAGTTAGCACCATTTTGCAGAAAGGAGTAACAGTACAGTACAGTGAAAATGAGAGAGCAAGCCATAGACAGCATAGGAACTTTCACAGGGTAAAAAGCAAAACATTTCTTTTCTTTTTACAAGGAAAGCAAAACACAGTACAAATCAGCAGTGACACAGAATCAGCATCATGGCAGCTGGAAACACAGAACAGCAGAGCACTCTTTTCCCAGTGGGATCGACAAGCTCAGAGTCCAAAGCGAACTTGAAGCGGCAGAGATTTGGTCTCCTTTCTGATAAACCTGAGTGGGTCGGATGGGCATAAAGTCTGTGGAAGGCAGAGCAATGCAGGATTTCACCCAGAGGCCTGACTCTGCTGCAGTTCCTGGCACTCGATGCAATGCTAAACTGCGGGCTTGGGTGTAGGCTGAGGACCTGGTGCACGTGGAGCGAAGGCCAGGATTTACACCCCTATCTTGTTGCTGTCTGAGGGGGAGGTCCCCAGGCCCTACCAGTCTCCCAGGCTCTTTCTGCAAAGACTGAAACCTTCCAAGGATCATTCATCCCACCCCAAGAGAGGTGTCCAAAACAGGTAGCTCAATGGCCCTTGGAAAGTTCCTTCACTAGAGGGGGGATTTCGACCACTGGCAAGCCCTTCCTACCTAGCTTTGTAGTTAGATGCCACCAAAAATTTCATGTATTAAGGAAACGTAAGACCCTGTTCTGACCACTCACTGGGCATGTTTCATTCAAACGTTGTGATGGATGCTCCTCATTGAGAAGAAGCAACCCTGAAGCCCTAGGTGGCGAGCGGCTGATCCAGAGTCATGGAGATGGCTTGGATTAGGAGCTCTGAGCATCTTAATGATGTTCCTTGGGCAAAATTTGGTTACTCTTGAAGTCAAGGGCTAAATTCCCGTTGAATTCAAGGTGAAATGGTGGCAAGCGTGGGTCTCTCTTTCAATGTGAAACTTAGGGCCAAAAAATAATAGGGAGAATTGTTCGGCGTGGTCTTTCCTTACGTACAGTGAGATCAGTGTGTTGGGCTACTGGTAACTGCCTACGCGCCTTCCTGACATGTTCTGCCTGCTGTGACACGTCATCTTCACGGCTGTGCTATACCCTGCGGTAGGAAAGGACGTTACTGGGGAGTGTGAAGATGAAGGAAGCGTCTAAATGCCAAGGAATCGCACCAAGTCTTGGAAGCTCAGGCTTCTCTGGCCAGTTGTCCCTCGCGCGACAGGGCGGGAAGAGCTGTGAGCAGCACTCCTCTCCGCCAGCTCAACGCAAGCCTTCCGCCGAGCTGCTCTGGGGACAGAGCTGAGCTTTGCACTTGAGCAGTGCTGCAGGGGCTTCTGAGCACTCAGAAAAGCAATGGTCAATATGGACAGGTCAGCGTCTCCATGGAGCATGCACATCAAAAAAATGCACTACATTCGCAAAGATTTCCACAGTTTTACTTCCTGGAGGATTTCCCTGGTTTCCTCCTAAACATCGGAGGTTTAAATATATATATATATTTCTATATATGAATATATATTTTCCACATACACAACCTGACTAGCTCATAGCACACAGTTCTAACACAGCTAAGCTTGGAAATACACCACTGAATTCAGAACACTACACTTACTTATACTCAAAGGTTTAGGCTGTTAGCGCAAGGCAAACAGGACACATCACACAACACACTGAACTTGGCATTTATTCATTACTAAGGCCAGCAAATGTCACTATCTGTATACCACAGAGCTTTCCTCCTCTCTGGAAACCTTCTCTCCACCACTAATTTGTTTCCAAAAGATCCAATTCTGATGGGGTGAGACCCCCAAAAATGGGACCTCCTCACTCTCCCGGCCCACCCCTTGTTCTCTGTTAGATAGTTTCACATCTCTAAAATATCCTAGCAGCGAGACTTTCCTCATTCGAACGCCTCTACAGCAACACAGTTCTGATAACTCTCCTCTTACCCCACCTCCCTGCCCTACTTCCCATCTCTCTCTCTTCGTTCTTCCCAATTGTTCTCTGAAAGTTTCAAGCTGGACTGCGTGTCGGGATGGAAATACTGAGCTGCAGGAATCGGGAAGAACCCTGCACCTTGACTTGCAGCCGCTCTGCTACAGCAGAGTTTAACAGCTCAGTCTGGTGGGAGCAAGACTAATCCTTAAAGGACCCAACCCCGCAGTTAGGCACGTAAATTTGGATTGGGACCGTACCCTTCCCAGCTCTCATTGACTCAACGACTCAGATTCTGGGGTATGCAGTGCCAGTCTGGTTGGGCCAGTTCATACTGGCTGACAAATAGTCCTGCCTGTGTTTACAGCTTCCAAACTGGTCTTGCTGGGCATGGGGATTTCCTAGAGTAAGAGCGCAGTAAATAGGACTGAAACCCTGAGATCTTGCCTGGAGGGAGTCTGGGCATCCCAGCAACTGGTTTATGGCCCTCTTAGGATGCCTACAAGCCCAACATGAGCCCCAACAGCTGGTAGAGTCAAAACAACGGGGGCTGCCAGCTCTAGTCAACCGTGGTAACTCTTTTCTTTCTACCCCTTGGAAGGTCACAACTGCAAACTAAACCTCTTCCTGAAATCTAGCTCTGTCTACTGGCACCCCAGAAGTGAAGAAAGCAGACCAAGATTCACAACAAACCAGGAATAACTAAAAAGATCCATAACCTAGGGGAAACAATAGGGAAGAACAGCCTGCTGATAACCTAGTCTGAGCTGCCACAAGCTTGGGAAGTCTTCGCTGCTCTCCACTTCCCTCACTCCTTTTCTTTTTCTCAATCAAGGGATTCAAGTGGTGTTGATGGGCAAAGCTGCCTTGATGCAGCTAGACCATCCCCCCAGCTACCCTGGGCGGGGATCTGGCCCTCTATTTGCATGGGATCTCCCTTCCCATGGTTTCTTGGAGCAAAAATCCCACCAGTGTCACCATTTTTTTCCACACCACTGATTCTGGTGGATTTATAGCAGATCCACGGCACCACGAATGAACTTCTGATCCTCTCTGCCTCCAAAACCTTTCACCTGCTGACACCAGTGGGAGATGACCGAACAACGGCCAACCCCAAAAGGACCTCACGGATGAAACCACAGCCCCTCCATGGCTCAGCGGGCATTCCACGCCTTCAAAGCGCTGAAGGACCAAGCCTGAGGAAAAGGACAGGCTGTGGGGACGCAATCACGGTTGAACCATCACCTTCATCTCCTACGACCCTGCTTGTGCATTCCCACGTCCCTCACTCTGTGCAGAGCCATGTTGTGCAGGCAAAGCAGAACAACCTGACCTCAGAACAAGGATTTCCTAATCCTCCTTGGAAATAAAACAGAAAAGCTTCTAATACAATCAGAACAAAAAGCAGATTAGAAGCCTCTAATTAATTTTGTGGCCTTTATTTAATCAAAGAAAAAAAAAAGGAAGAAAGGAAGAAAGAAAGAAAGAAAAGGAAAAAAAAAATGAGAAAGAAAGGAAAGTGCAGTGACATTTACTCTTTTGCCTCAGCCAGTTTATTGTTCATCTCTTTACTTTTCTCCTTGTCCTCTGGCTTTGCTGTGTTGGAGGTCTCGGCGCTCTTTTTCTTGGCAGCCCGGCCAGATGCAATCTGCTTGTCTTTGGCCTTTTTCAGGGGTTTATGGCTTGTTGTGGTCTTTTTTGGTTTGGAAGGCTTTACGCTAGGCTTTTCCACCTGCATGGAGGGCAACGTGTGAAACGACAACACGGAGATGGAGACAGAGAGAGAGAGAGAGAGAGAGAAAGACACAAGGACAGGTGGAAAACAGGATTTAGATCAGAAACGGTCTGAATGTCAGTTATCTACTCAGCTATGCGCTACCAGGAAGGGAGGGGAGCAGCTGGGAGCATGCTGAGCTGCAAATGGCCAACTCCTTTCACAGCGTTGGTGCCCTGAAGTCACAGTGCCCCTGGAGCCAGCAGAGCCCGTTGTACCCCGCTCAGGACACAGCAGGGTAAATAGGAGAGGGAATATTATCAGTCATTTTATCGATTCCTCCATCTTTCTCTGACTTCAGGAGGGGCTTCACAAGCCCGCAGGGGATTGTCTCTCTCTGGATTTGAAGCAGAGAAATGATGCTCAGGACAAAGAGGCTGCTACAAACCCCCACCTCTCTTGCAGGACGTGACTCCTCAGGCTGCCACAACAGAGGAAAATCACTTGGTGATCGCTGCGGTGCAGGACGCTGATTGGCACCTCAGCAAGGTCCACAACAGTGTCCTGCATGCACCCGTGTCTACAGCCCCCGAAATGCGAAGGACAGCTTCAAAATTAAGGAGGAACAGAAGCCTCCGGCTCCTCCATGCTGGCCCAGCCATCCCTCCAAGACCTCACAAACCTAAGCCATTATAAACTCTGGGAAGGACTCAAGGTACTAGGATTTAAACTGCACAGACTGACTCCTTTTATATGCAGATCTGCTGCTGCCCTTCCCAGCACATGTCCTCGATCTGATCAAAGCCAAAAGTGCTTATTGTCAAAATCTGTGGAGTGCTCTGACTTAATTGCAGGCGAAGATCTGGCTCTTATCGTGTTGATCCTGGGATAAAAGTGTCACGTGGGGTGCCTATAGTTTTGGAGGGAGCAAGAGAAGGCTGTCTGGATAATCCCATGGGAAATGACAACACAAAATCCCCTTCATCTGCACCCGACCCTCACTTCTTTACGGTCTGACGTAGGGCTCTATTGTCTCCAAAGTGCATCAACCTGTACTAGTGCCCACCGAATCACAGAAGGGTTTGGGTTGGAAGGGACCTTAAAGACCCTCTAGTCCACCCCCCTGCCCTGGGCAGGGACACCTCCCACTAGACCAGGTTGCTCCCAGCCCCATCCAGCCTGGCCTTGAGCCCTGCCAGGGAGGGGGCAGCCACGGCTGCTCTGGGCAACCTGGGCCAGGGTCTCACCACCCTCAGTGTAAAAAATTTGTTCTTTATATCTAGTCTAAAACTGCCATCTTTTAGTTTAAAACCATTACTCCTCATCCTATCACCACACCTCCTGGTAAAGAGTCCCTCCCCACCTCTCCTGCAGCCCCTTTCAGCACTGAAGGCCGCTCTAAGGTCTCCCCAGAGCCTTCTCTCCTCCAGGCTGAACACCCGCAACTCCCAGCCTGTCCTCACAGGGAGCTGCTCCAGCCCCCTGAGCATCTTCGTGGCCTCCTCTGGACCCGCTCCAGCAGGTGGGGTGTCACCAGAGCAGAGCAGAGGGGCAGAATCCCCTCCCTCGCCCTGCTGGCCACGCTGCTTTGGATGCCGCCCAGGGCACAGTTGGCTTTCTGGGCTGCCAGCGCACATTGCCGGCTCACGTCCGGCTTTTCATCCACCACCATCTCCATGGTGGATCACCAGATGCACCCGCTGATCGGAAATGAAGGTGCCACATAAGGGGAACAACAGCCCAGCCTTACTGTCTTGGACACGTCCCACCAGGAGCAGCGATGGCCCTGGGTCCCTTCTGCCGCGGTTCTCACCTTTGGTGGTTCTTTGTAGGGTTCGCTGTAGAGAGTGCGTATCCTTCTGCGCTCCAGGAATTTGTTGTCGGCCGGAGCAGGCTTACTGGTTTCCCCCTTGAATTGAGCACTGTAACTGGTTTCATGGATCATTTTCTCCTCTGGCGGCTTGTACTGGGCCTTCGCTTTTATAGCTTTCACGGGCTTGACGTCTACCCAGGGTCTGAACTCGTTTCTGAAGATCAAAAGAGAAATGGGTTCAGGAAAGAAACCAACAGAATAGTAGTGGTAGTGTGGGAATGGAATCCCCCATTGCTCAACAAGGTCTATTTGGAAGGGCTTTTGCCTCCAGCCAGCCAGGTTTACAAAGAAACTGGCTCCCAACAGCTCCTCTTTCACCTCGTCCAAAACCCACTGACCCATTAGAAGTTCAAATGAAATTTGGTCTGTTAAAATCAGAGAGCCCTGGGCACCAGACAACCTGCTAGTTGTGTGGCAACGGCCAGGTGCCCTCTGCAAATCCGGCCTCAGACGTTAACTGCGATGCTCTCTTTGAAAACAGATGCTTTTTTGTCTCTACAGCTTCACCTCTGCACTGAAGCTACCTGCAAGCAGCTCCTGGCTCTTGCAACCAGGCTGGAAAATAGTATTTAGAAAGGAAATTCAAAATTCTTGTTCTGCAACAAAACACAGGACACACACTTCTCAGCACACTTCCCTGCAGGCACGCAAGCTGGGTGATTCAGAAGTGTAAAGAGCCAAGATTGCCTACAGACACCCCTCACCCATGCCTGTAAGTAGTGAACTGCATCATTTCACCCATATTACAGCAAATAACGCACAACAGTTTTGTTAATTCTGTAAAGGAACAGTTTAAGATAAAACTGTCTTACATGTAAACTCAAGCAGAGTAGGAAACGCTCAGTTTATCAGGTATCGTGAGCTATGGTTTCTCTTTATCAGCTGACGGTGAATTCCTGAGTTACCACAAAAAATAACACCATCTTTCATTTCTTTTGGACAAAGCTGCAACTTTTTGGAGGAAAAAAAACCCAAACACACTTCAAAGATTTCTAGCATCTGCTGGACACATTCTGGTTCCCATCCACAGACCCCTTCTCTCGCATTTTGTAGTTCTTCCCAACAGAGCACCAACATCTTTCCAGTTTTGAAGTGAACCACTTCATTTTCTCTCTAAAACTTGCCATTCATCTGAGAATGGGGATGGAGGCTGTGCTCAGACACGGTCGCAGGCAGTGTTTAGACTCAAGACTCCAGCGCAAGCCAGGAGCTCTCCTAACAGTGGTGATACAAGCCCTCCACAAAGGGGTGAATGTTCCATGGAAATCAGGACCTCTGAGGCAATGGCACCTCCAAGTTGCAGACCCTGTTCCCTCTTGCTCTGTTCCACTCAGCCACCTTTGGGTTGCGTTACTGGTTTCCAGCCTGGTTTATCAGGGAAATAAGCCCCGTGTGAGGGCACCATGTATCTGCCGGTCAATCCCTCCCCGTAATAGCTCTGAACATCCCGATCAGCTTCAACCAAATTGGACAAACAGTCATGGAAATGCTCCGTTTGTGCTTTTATGAAGAGAAGCAGTTGGACTGAGGTCAGGGGCTCAGGAAAGCTTCAGTATGGACAAGCACAGTCACTTCACCATTCATCAGAGGACCCGCTCAGACAGGGAGGCTAGGCTGCAGAAGTTCACCTGATGTCCCCAGGGACCAGCAGCAAACGATCCCTTCACGTGCAGGATCAGTGCAGCTCCCCGCCCGCCCAGTGCGACATTTCCCATTCACATAGTCCCACTGCAAAGACAGAAAAAACCTTCCTCTATAAAGATAACGGTTGGCTGCGCTCCTGGGGGCGTCTCTCCTCCTAAGACCCCCACGTTAAGGTCCCACGGGACGTGCAGGGTGACTGTGTCCTTGCGGTACTCAATGCGGACTGGCCAACAGCCCACGTAGCCTGGAGAGCCCCTCCTTATGCCAAAGACAGGCGACTGCTTTAGGATGAGCTGGTTGCCTCTTTGGGCTCTGCGGACCGACCAGATCTCCACTGAGGGGAACACAAACACCTAGCGTACGTGAAGACACTCACACACGCACCCCAAAATGTAGGTGTGTCAGTCTCTGAGCCAAATCCCATCGACAACTCTCCAGCCTTTCTTACGGTTGATTCCAGCTACACCTACTTTTTCTTTTCCCTGTGTTTCTTCACTTCCCTCCCCCTCTTTTACCCTTCAGCCCTTCTTGGGCTTGGATAACGCTGCTGAAGGCGCAGGGATGCTGCCTGTTCGAAGGGTGCTATTTTTCATGAAACTGTGGCACTGAATGAGCAATACACCAACGGGCTCATTTGTGTCCTGTTCTTTCCTGTTCAGTGAACGTCACCCATTTGTCCACAGACATTTCTCTGCAGTCCATCGTTAAAACATTCCTCCTGCATGAAGAGTTGAGAGAAAGGAAGAGGAAACATCTTTGAAGAACTGGATTAAAGGTGCGAATACATTACTGACAAACTCAACGCTCAACCCAAGCTCCTCAGAAGAGGCTTCTTCCTAGGATCCACTTTCGTTCCAAAGCAGACTATACATTTTCAACTGCTTTCCAAAGGAAATAAAATCATGCACTACTTCTCTCTGCCCATGTCCTCTGTCACTCAGACCCCTCCCTAGCAAGTTCTGAACCCATTAGCTATTTTCTGTCCTATCTGCAGCAGAGGTAAGAAACCTCAGAGGTGAACATCACACCACCTTCCCTCAAAATCAGTGAGTGGGCACGGGAGGAACATCCAAATGGTGTTCTTCAGCTGAAGGAAAGTCAGGTAAAATTCATTTTCTCACCCATTCTAAGGTCAGCTGAACAACCAGCCCACGTGGACCACGAGGCCAACCAGCAAACCGAAGCACAGCTTGCCTCTACAGAACCAGAGACCAAGGATGGAGGCTGCAGTAACGTGCAGCAGGGGCTGGACTTCAAAGACGGAACACAAACCAGGATTTACTCATCCTGCTGCTCATCCAGTGCTAGTTTGTCTGGAGGTGAGCTCTGAAGCAGCACGATCGTATTTGTTACCATAGTGCCCGGCAACCTCGTTAGGTGCTGCATTATGCAAACAGGCAGAAAGAGCCGGGCTGCTCCCTGAAAAGCCTGTGATCTCCGCAGACGAGGCAGACACATGAGGCGGGGAAAAAGGGGGACGAGAGCCCTGTGCTACCTGCGGGCTGGCAGGGAATGCATCTCTGCGCTCCCACGGGCCAGCTGCTGAAACGCTACAGCAAAAGATCACGCCCTAGAGCGGGGCTGTTAGTGCAACAGCCAGCCTCATCTGCCTGTCAAAAACCAGCACAAACTCCTCTGCTGTTCTCCATCCCTGCTTTGCTGGTCCTAATGCAGATGTAACAACTGTGTGAGCGCTCAGCTCCGCTGTACTTGGCGACAGGACCCTTGACCGCTCCGCGTCTCCCAAGGTGGGCCTGGCTTTGCAGGCAAAGGATGGACCAACAGCCGTTCTTAGGTGGATGGATGCCTGATGCGCGATGGGCACCAGCTCTGAAACAGCTCAGCCACGATCTTCGCTGGAAGCGGAGGACAGAAGGCTATTGATCTTGAAGTATTTTACAGTGTTGGCGAAGAAGCTGTGAATACCACGTACATCATATGGATTCAGAGCACATCCAAAATAACAGGGTGCCCGGAGAGGTGGTAGAAGCCCCATCCCTGGAAACACTCAGGGTTGGATGGGGCTCTGAGCACCCTGATCCAGCTGAAGGTGTCCCTGCTCCCTGCAGGGGGGCTGGACTAGATGGCCTGGAAAGGTCCCTTCCCACCCAACCCATTCTGCGATTCTGTTCTAAATCCTTTCCAGGCAAATGTGCGTGGTTTCACATCACCAGCTGTTACACTAGAGCCAGCCCCTTCACGCATGAGAGAGAGCACGGGCCACGTTCGTACGGAGTCCCACCACACCCAGGACGGACCGGCTGCTCCCTGCTGTGACCACACTCAAGCACCCAGTGTGCCCAACGCTGCGTATCTGCTACCCAGAGCTTGCAGAGGCAGTGGAAGGAGGAGAGAAACTCAGGCCATTTACTACAGCTACACCTGGGGTGCAGCAAGCTGATCTCAGTGCCTGGTTTTGATCTTCAGGCAACACACAAACTGTAAAAAAAAAAGGTGTTACTAGAATAGACACGGGCTATTCCGTGCCGGTTGTCCTGGGGTGCAGCAAGCTGATCTCAGTGCCTGTTTTTGATCTTCAGGCAACACACGAACTGTAAAAAAAAAAAGGTGTTACTAGAATAGACACAGGCTATTCCGTGCTGGTTGCGTCAGTGCCCAGAAACTCAGCTTACCACGGTTAATTAGCACAGAAGTACAAATTCCTCAATCTCTCCATCTCCACCACAGACGAGTGAGTGGAAAACAGCACGTTGGGAACTGCCCTTGGAATATGCCAGCTCCCGAACCCAGCCCAACAACTGCTTGGAAAAGTACTGGTTACCCTGGGCCACAAATGCAGGCAGGAGCGTGCGAGCAACTTCACAGCCCGGATCACTCATCTCAGTGCCAGGCACGATGAATTTACTAATGCAAAGCACGAACGAGGAGGCAGGTGTCCTGCTTGGGGTCTGCATCTCCATTGATTGTAGGGACGAGGGGGACAGCTCAGGAAGGTGACCTAAATCCCGCTTCCAGGCCTGGTGACCTTCCATCAAATGTGTCTGTCTGATACGGTCCTACGTCACCACGAGCTCGTGTTGTCCGAACAGCGCGCGGCACGGCTACACCCTCTTAAGGCACTTGCACCGTGCGATCTGGAACTGGCCTGATGCTCCAGGATATTTATGTCCCTCAGAGATGTTGCTTTATGCATTTATATACCCCCTATATGCAGCAAGGAAGTGAAAGGGAAAGCAGCAGCTTAGAGTTGATTTTTTTTGGTATTTTGTGACTAGTAAAAATACCTGTTCTCTAAGGTCATATCAGTCGCTCCTGTAACACTAAAACTAACCCTTGGTTGGAGAAAGCCCCTGCAGCTCTCAGACCCCTCTCATTACTGTTTAACAGGGCCACTTTGGGGGAAGGTGCCCAAAAGTTACAAATTCTGGCTGCAATCTGAAACAAGCCTTGAAAAATGTTGGGGTTTTCCTGCTTTGAGAACAACGGGGCATAGCGGTGCCTGGACCACCGCAGACCGCTCCACTCAAAATTAGCTCTGAAAGTATTTCAGGAGCATGCCAGGCCCCATCCTACAAGAGCTCAGCCTCAGAGCTCACCTAGAACCTGAGCAAGAGCCTTTGCTCACGCTGCAAGGACGAGCCACGAGCATGGACTAGCACCAGTACGGATATACCCAATAGGCAAAACCCAGTCCAGCTCTGTAATTCTTTACCTAAGGGATTTTCATGGCTCTTAATTTTGCTGAGGCAGATTTTGAGAATTGCTATCTTGGCATGAAACGGAGGGGTCGAACTGAAAGAGCAGCAAATTACAGGTCTCCTCATTTTCTGCTGAGCTCTGGTCCCAGCCTTACAAAGAATAACCAGAATCCATCAGGAACCCAGTGCTGACCTGAAATGGAAACCGAAATGAAACTCAGCAAAAAGGAGTATATGAGGCATCAGATGACCTTTCCTGAGCCAAGTCCAACAGGAAAAATTCCCAGTGAAGAATAAGGGAGTTTAGCTCTCTACAGACCCGATGAGAACACAGGGCTGCACAGGATGGGGCAGACGTCTTGCAAATTAATAGGCAGCAGATCTTCTTGTCAGATGACAGTAGCCAGGGAGGTGGTGGCCTGATCCTTATCCATTAAAGCCAAGAGCTGCTCTCCACATACCACACTCTGCTCTTGCACAGGGCTTCATCCACCCTGGTTATTTTAATTTAATTGCGTTTTTCCCTTGGCTGAGGATTGCTGGTTGCAGGTGAAGGTGACCTGAACACCCTCCTCCACCCCAGCCAGGGGACAGGGGGTTGATGTGAGCTCCAAGCTGTGGCACGCAGCCGTCTCCGGAGATGCTCACCAACACTCACGTAGGCACCGACTGCCTTCCTCTGTTGATGCCAGAGCAAAGCCAAGAGCGGGAAGGAGCAGGAGATGGGGCCAGGTTTAACCACTTCAAAGCTCCCACCTACTTTGAAGGACTTCAAGGAGAGGTTATGTTTGTTCAGAACCAGCACAGGATGTTAAACGTATTGTGCTGACAGCAGTTCTCCTGGCACCAGTAGAGCCGGTCCAATTCCCTCATCCCGATGTGCACGTATGAAATAACGAATGGTGCAGAAAAGCGAGACCAGGAACCTCATGCCGGAGTCCTGCACAGAAGGGATATTTCCAGCTTAATCTGGAAAATGACAGCTCAAACAAAAATGAAAAATATTCAGATTTTTCACTGGAAAAAAGAAAATTCTTTACAGGATGTTTGACCTGAAATGTTTCATTCATTCTAAAATTAAAAGTTAAATTTCAGTTTCTTTAATTCTTTTCCATCCCATTTTTTCCTTATTCTACTCAGGACAACATGAAAGGACTACGAAGCAAAACATCAAACTGCTTCACAAGGAGTGTTTCAGAACATCACGTTTCTCTTTAATACACCTCTAAACAAAAGAGCAATTAAAAATATACACATTTTGGCCAAACTAAGTAGCAAATTTGTCTGGGATTTTCCAACTATTCTGCCTTTCTAGAATAGAGTATATCGCGCTCCCAGATACTCTCCAGCTCCCTTTTCCCTCTTAATGCAGAAAGAGAGATGTTCAGTGAAACGAAACAGTGGGAAACCCAAAATCAATGATAATGCCTGGTCGAACTTTGGAACTCAATGCCAAAGGAGGTCACTGAAGTCCAGCATTTAATGAGATTTAATTAAGCAATGGCTGTTTAGATGGATATTGAGAATATTCACAGGTATCAAAGGGAATTTCAGCAACACATCCTTGAGATAATAACACCTCCCTTGAGCATTTAGCTGCCTTTTACAAACTATGGGCTGAAGCAGGAGCTATTCCACACCGTAGGAATTTCTTCCAACCTCCCTCCAGTTGTCT